GTGTTGTAACACAATCCAATGACAATTGTGACTAACAGTGTCGATAGTCATGTACGATACGAGTACTGTACCACAAATGAGAGTGGAGGTTTTGTCGCATTGTTAATATTCCGTCGATCATGAACAGTTTTTGGCCGCGAAGAGAAAGATAAATACAGCAACCAATGCCACAAAATCTCTGATTTCAATATCGGCCTTGGGCTGTATGATTAAGGAAATGACGGAAAATCACGAACTGAGAATTTGGACGTATAGACCAATCTGTCAAGAAAGTTTTGTTTCCTCAACACATTTGAAATTCCTAGAGCTGTTCACCTTTCGACCTCCACCTTCACCTCCAGCATGTAATCATTACATGGGTGGGAAGTAACAGAAAAGAATACACACCCGCATATTGAGTATACAAATCCACCGATTAATATTTTTGTAAAATCAATTGTCTACATCAACACTAATAAATTGATTAACCGTTAGGCGCTAGAGAAATAGCCCATTACTCGTAAGATACAAAAATATATTATATTGAAGTAGGGAATCCACGGTCATATCTAGCTACAAAATCGGAGTCCTCGAGCTAATTACGTCATAATGCTGATCTTGAGCGGACGTTTCGACACTTGTGCTCTGTTGTTACTGCTACCGAAATCAGCTCAAACCATCAGCGATGTCTCACGGTTTTACCCCGAAGACCACGATTTTATAGTTTACCATTTAACACTTACCACAGTGTCGATGGTTGGGGTGAGCAGATATGCATATGCTGTGCTGTAACACTACTACAAGGTCGATGGTTGGGGTGAGCAGATATGCATATGCTTTGCTGTAACACTACTACAGGGTCGATGGTCGGGGTGAGCAGATATGCATATGCTTTGCTGTAACACTACTACAGGGTCGATGGTCGGGGTGAGTAGATATGCATATGCTATGCTGTAACACTACTACAGGGTCGATGGTCGGGGTGAGCAGATATGCATATGCTATGTTTTAACACTAATACAGGGTCGGTGGTCATTGGTCGGCTCGAGCAGATATGCATATGCTGTGCTGTTAACACTACTACACTACTACAGGGTCGATGGTCGGTCTGAGCAGATATGCATAAGCTGTGCTGTAACATTACTACAGCGTCTGGAAAGTGACCGGTCAGGCAGGCTATCGCACCGGTCATGTTACCTCACACTCGTATCAATAAACAGGAAGGAAGGTGGATTCCTGACGAACGATCGTTAGTTAATTTGTAAATAGGAAGTGGATGGTGGTTTAGCAAGAACATGTGGTGAAGTAGAACGAACTTTCGCCTAGATCTGCTATCGTCTCGACGGGTTAATTGATTGTCGATTGTCTTGCTGAATCATAAGCAATACGTACGGGTAGGTTTGTTTTGTTGTTATTTTAGTTTGTGACACATTTTGCCATATTAAAAACTGTATTTTTAACGTTCTACAATGCAATTGATTTAAAATAATATTTCAATTTACATATAATTAACTCATAGGTGATGCATAAATAAAGCCTGTAGATTGTCCATCAATCTCTATTGTAATAGAGATCGATGAGCTAGTCTATCTAGCTGGTGATTTAGTAGGTCATTACCAATAACATATTCATTCTATTAAAATAAGCGCATACTAGCCGATTAAACACCTTCTATACTGAAACATCGAAAGAAACTTAACATTTAACTAACATAACACTCAATAAATCACCCAGCCAAATATGAAAATGATTCTGTAGGCTAATAGTCCAATACTGTATAACTCCGCATAGTTAACGTGCAGTGCATAGTACGGCCTGATCCCCTTATACTAGTTCCACGTGATATAGGCATGTAATAGTATTGCCTCCCTATACTTCCATGTTCAATCTAGTCCAGCGCTGCTCCAGATTGGCCTAAGGACTCCGGCGTTGTCCGCCGAGTGAGTCGCGAACCCTCAAAGGGGAGAAAGTCACCCCCGGAAGATGACAGAGGAAAGCCCCTCTGCAATTAAGCTCACTTTCACCATAGATAAAACATACTCCCTTAGTAGATTTTTCATCCTTATGGAACAGCTGAAGACAATTTTATTGTTAGTTCATGTACGGTTTATGTAGAGGTCGTGTTTTGTTTACAATTTGTTTCCCGTTATTACAGCCATTTAAAACCTCGTTTAACCAAATAATACGATCTAATCATAAACAATAACTTGTCCCCTAGTTATATAACCAAACAGTAAAGCACAAATCAAGAAATTAGCCCTAAAATAATGGAAACAAAGTTTCATCGACACTAGTGCCTTTGTGTCACGTACATGAACTAGACGCGAAAAACGTGCTTCAAAATTTACAATGGGATGAGAAGTCTACTTGTGGTTGGTTAGTCTATGCTTTCACTTAGCCGATGTATTTATCAAATCTGCGTTATGGTCAGTAATGCGGGGTTGGCGCAATGAAACGCGCGTTATACCTGCCAATTGTACCTAGTTGCGGAGCGGTAAGCTTGTAAGCTTGTAGTAGCCACGTGGGTGTTCTGGAACTCTATCAATAATGTATCAGTGCCGGTCCTAACAAAATAGTTCTCTAAGTGGAAATTTATTTGATGATAACCGGAAAAAGTCCATGAATTAAATTCTATATAGGACTGTGAAATTGAACAGCCGCCAATAGCTTATTGTATTATATCACAGAGAATAGACCATGGTGTTCTATTGTTTGTGATTATAGAGTGTATTCCGTTGTTTCTCTTTCTGCGTTGCAGCGAGAGTAAGGAAAACGCAATTGGGCAATTGCTGCAAGGATAAAGATGTTGCCGCAGTTGCGGGGTATGACCACAGGTGTTACTACGATCGCTTTTCCGATGGTTTGGTTGTTTTGAGTTTAAAATTCATACACATCCCTAATGTAAGTAAGTAGGACTAAACATTTAAAATAACTTGGCCACAAAAAGTCGAAGTAGCTAGGGACTATATAGTCATTCGGCCAAAACTTCTGTGCGCGCGGACGGCGAGTCACTACCATATAATTGAGGATATAATTGGGGAGTGAGTAGCAAAGGTACTAAATAAAGGCACAAAATTAATGTTTTCACATAAGTACCCCCACGCCCCATCAACCCCCTCGCCTAGACCTAGCCAGATCTGGTCATCTGGTCGCGCGCACTGAAACTTTTGCCGAACTTTACCCTTAATTCCTTTTAAAATAACCGGGCCCACACTAAAATAACTGGTGTTTTGTACTATAAGGGATGGACGTACGTATCTAGGCACTATTCTAACCGCTCACCCCCCCCCCCCCCCCCCCAGTACAAATACGAAGGAGAAAAGGACATCTCACTTCTTCCGCCGCCTCCGTTCTCTGTCGCCGCGCCCGCAATCCAGCAAATGCCGCGTCGGTCCCAAGGTCGTCATTGTTATACACGTGCCACAAAAAGCCCGTACATTGTTGGCACCGAAATTTTTATACCTGTCAATTGTTGCTGTATGGTTTTTTTAGATATGTTGCCAAACCCGTGTAACCTCGACCAACTAAGTCTTTCTGTCGTCATGTGGTAGGTTAATAGACAAGCATCTAGATAATCTGCAACGTTCTAAAAACTATGTGTCATTCATGAATTTAGCTTTTGTCAATATATTGAGTGAGTTGATTGTAAAGATAACTATTCAAGGTAACTTCTGTACAAGGATAATTATTCATATTCAAGGACTGTCTATATTTTCCTAACAAGTGATCAAATATTGGCTAACATATCATAGTTGATATCTATATTTTTTTAATTCTGCAAGCAATTTTTAAAAATCAAAATTTTTAGAGTTTGTCAGCTTGCAGGATGATGGGAGAGGGCTCAAATTAAAAACACAGTGAGTCGGGGAAAATAGCAGATTATGTTCAACTCGACCATCAATTGAGAAATAACGAAAAATATCTTCCATTGGCATTGAGTTGTTCTTTGACATTGGGACTAAAAAACGTCAGCTAGGTTTACATTAAGTTGTGATTACAAATATATTATAATTTTAGCAAATTTCCCCATAGGGAAGTAGCTATTACCGTAGGTGGCACGGTAAGACCTGGACACGGAACCGATGTACTTTTTCATTGTGATGTCACTAGAGGTAAAAAAAACACCATTTGTTTAAATTTGTATATATATATACATCCATGAACCTTGAGTAATTTTTGTCCGATTTTGATGAAATTTGGCTTGAAGATTTAATGCGGGAAAAACTTGAATAAGTTTGCGACCCAGCGACCCAGCATGATCGAACCAGCATGGGAACGGGGCTTTATGGGGGTTTTATGGAGTAAAAATAGGTTATTCTAACTTTTTGCCCTCAAAACACAACATTTTCCAATTTATTTTCAAACCATTTTAAAGAGCTCAAAAAACAAATAATTTAGTATATAGAATTGTTTTTGTGCGGTTACCGGTTACGTAGAAAATCCAAAAAGTTGTAAATTAAAAATATTCCGAACATAGAGGATATGTAAACTGTTGTTTGAGTTTTTGTGGATATATGTTGATCAAACCTGGCCAAATTCTTTATTTTATACTAAGCTATTAATATTTTACTAAAAAACACAATTTATTACCCCCCCCCCCCCCCTGAGAGTCTACTCAGGCATTTGAAAATTCGCTTTGTCTGCAGTTTTGCTGGGACGGGGGTATTTATTCTACTGTTAATTCTGTTGATTAGAGTGCATGAAGTTTGTTAACTAGTCAACAAATGATTTGGATAAAAAAGTGATCTAAAATGATTAACTTACAATTTCCAGAGCTGCTGTGTGTCATAGATGACTTGGTAAAATGAATTATCTTGTGTTTGTCCTTTTAATAAATATTTTTATAATGAATCCAGCGACTGTGAATGGAAGGGGACGGCTTGCAAGACAAGGGACTTATGCCCATACAATCCACCAGTATGTTTATTAATCCTGCAGTTTTAATCTGTTTAATTGTATGTTAAACATAGTTTTCTGCAGTGTTATGGAGGTGACATTGTTGATGTGTTTGTGTGTGACAGTGTGGCGCTAGACACAGCAGCTCGCAGTGAACACTCGTCCAGACAACACACACTGGAGACTGACAGACTACGCAAGGAGCTGGACAAGATGGAGAGATGCAGGGACAATGCTGTTAGGGAGATCAGGTAAACAGATAACATAATATCATCTAACATAATCTAACATAATCTAACATAATCATCTAACATAATATCACATTATGAATCTTATTTTTCTAGAGATGAAAAATCTGTTAACAGATGCCTTGTGGGATATGCACTCTGAGTGTGTGGGGATACTTCCTCCCATCCATTCTGGCAACACATTAAAATCAACCTCTTTATTTGCTTTGCAATATGTTTCACAGAATCTCCATTCCTATAACACCATGGACTTTTTGCTAAGAGTTTAAGTTCGGGCGTCCTTTTTCCATACTTTTTCTGATTGAAGTATTCCAATATGTTTAAGCTTTCTTTCTTCCGTATCACGATTCTCAACAGGTTCTTAGGCTGTCTGACCAGGTTCTTAGGAGCTACCTCCATCTGCTGTCGCTCATGAACGAACTTCAGGCACCAAAAGATTGCGAGATCGGAGCTGTCTCTGATGTGTCCAAAGCTCAAAAAGCTTTACATCATTCAAATTCTGCCTTTTGTATTTGAAATTATAAGCTCTAAATGCTAACCATATCCTATAAAGCTTATATTAACTAGTACTTGTTGCCAAGGGTAGCTATCAAGCAGTCAAAGTTAATTTGATCCATTAAAATCGTAGCAAGAATTGTTGGAGAACATTCTCAATGCGCTTGTGTGATGATTTGTTGCAAGCTACTAAAACTATTAAAAGAAGCAACATTTTTCTAATTTTTTACGAATGTTTGTTAACAGCCGGCTACAAAATGACCTGGCGTCAATAACAGCTGATCATACCCAGACTAGTCGTTGCCTGGAAGCAGCCCGTAGTGAGGTGGAGGATCTCAAACTGCAGGTCAGTCAATGTCTACTATGACAACACTCTAGAAATACAGTAGCAAAAGTGATACGTCGTTACTGCTGTATATGATTTGAAAGGATCAGATTTGGGGAAAATTTCATGAAGGCTTTTGTTAGAAAAACTTCTCAGATTACTACACATATTTTGATGGTTACTATTCTTATTCTATAGTTCTATGCATTGTACAGATTTGCATTCATTAAAATAATTATATTTGAATAGGGAACAAATGTGATACGTTTAAGGAGACATTTTAGTGTAAATCCAATCAGGCAAATGGAAATTTGCTTAGTCTGCAGGTTTTCTGCGGCAAGCGTATTTTTGTGTTCCATAAAAAACAACTCTGGGAGTAAATATAGTCTTCTTTTATTCCATAGGGTGTAAAGAAACCTTTGCCCCCTTAGTTAGAATTAGGTAAATTTGAAAAACCATGATTGCTTGACTTTATCCCAATCTCGTACTGCATGTTTAGCCATTACAGGACTGTGGATATTTAGTTACACGTTCAATTTATTTTTGAGATGTGCAAATGAACATTTTTATTTTGTTAAATAGTTATGTTATTGACTGTATTATTTTATCCAGGTACAAGGATATGTTACTGAAGTCAGAAGAATCACCAATATTCTGGAAGAAAAGGTACATGGTTCTAAATTAGAATATTAATCATGCCTTCTATTTGAGTAAACTGCACAAAATGGTTGGTGAGAAATACTTAAGTAATAGTTGTCTAAGAGACCTAACAAATTCTATAGAGTTATTTTATGAATCTTATTACAGTACCTTATGATAGTAACAGGTGGATTTAAAATTAGGCTCAATGTTTCCGATAGTTAGTTGATTGTGCACATGGGCATCCATCCAACTTTTTTTATAAAGGGGGCCGGGGCTTGGGGGTTTCGGAAAACACCTAGTTAAGAGGAGGGTCCAGGGGTTCTCTCCCACAAAGTTTACACATTTTTGTACCTAAACTTGCTTTGCCAATTTGTAGTTCTAAAAATTTGAAAACTTACTGCTGTGGCCACTGGTAGGGGGGAGGGGCAGAGGAAATTGGTCTCCACAACATATTGCCTCCAAACATCTCTATCCCTAGATTCTTTTTTCCTCCTTTCCAGTCTCCTTAGGTCCTTTTCCACATGGTATCTCAGCTTTGGTCTTCAGAGGGGTCTTCTTCCTTCTAGTTTATTCTCCAGAATTAACTGTGATAAGGAGCCTTCATTTCTCATGACATGAGAATAGACTGCCCATCTCATTCTTCCACTCCCTGCCTCAGCTATAATATCAGGATCTTTAAATAACTCTCTTTGGAGTCTCATAGGAAAGAATCGAGCCCCTTCCCTAGCCCCCCATATTGATGGTCGCACATGATTGTGCAATTATTATATGTTGAATATAAAATTCCAATTCATGCCTCAACACTAACATTCGTCCAAAGGAAGCAGTGCTTTCTACTAATGAACGTTAAAAGTTTTGCAATATTTCATTTTGGAACCCTGTAATGTTTATTTTTGAACACAATTTGTCAATATATTTTATGTTATTTCTTCTTATAACATTTTTATTGATCTCTGTTGGTCTCAGGAGGCAGAGAGGACGGCCATGTTGGATCATTTCCGCACACTCACAGTAGAGTCGGCAAACCTCGAGTCAAACAACCATAGTCTGGAGAGTGAAGCCCGGTGAGCAGAATAATACAATACACTCTGCATCTTATTAACAAACAATACAATACGCTTTGTGATCTAGTTATCAGATCAATACAGTACATTTTGAGTTCTGGTTAATACAACTCACTCTGAAATATAGCTAACAGAACAATACAATACACTCTGAGATTTAGTTATCAGAACTCTGCGTCTATTTATCACAACCAATGCAATACACACTTTAATATAGTTATCAAACCGTGCCAATATAATACACTCTGTAGTCTGTCTAGTTGTAAGAACAAATCCAATACACTCTGCATCTAGTTATCATAACCATATAATAGACTCTGTGATCTAGTTATCAATCAGGTCCAACACAATACACTCTGCATCTAGTTATCATAACCATATAATAGACTCTGTGATCTAGTTATCAATCAGGTCCAACACAATACACTCTGCATCTAGTTATCATAACCATATAATAGACTCTGTGATCTAGTTATCAATCAGGTCCAACACAATACACTCTGCATCTAGTTATCATAACCATATAATAGACTCTGTGATCTAGTTATCAATCAGGTCCAACACAATACACTCTGCATCTAGTTATCATAACCATATAATAGACTCTGTGATCTAGTTATCAATCAGGTCCAACACAATACACTCTGCATCTAGTTATCATAGCTATACAATAGACTCTGTGATCTAGTTATCAATCAGGTCCAATACATTACACTCTGTGATCTGGTTATTAGAACAATACAATACACTCTTAGATTTGAACCAATACAATACACTATGCATCTAGTTATTTTTGCCTCCCCAGCCGAGTCCAAAAAATCTATGTCAATATCCAAGATTGAAATCCTCACACTTTGAGCTTGATGCCCAAATACTGGTACTCTGCTTAATAAACTAATGATTAAAAGTTAAATGTATTCAATTCAAGGATGGGAAGATAATTGCTATGATTTTTATCAGTCATATCTGGAACAAGTGTTTTTAAAAGTATAAAAGAAAACTACAATTCACGATTCTGAAAGGATACTTGAATAAAAATGAGCAATATAAGAGTGTTAGTATGGACAGAAGAATTAAATTTAGACTGACAGAAGTGCGGCGTCCACTGTTAGTAGTTTCGGTGCTCACCGCTGCGGCATCAAGCGCTAACGAGCGTTGCTATAACAATTTGGTAGTTGGAACGTCGGTTTGAACATTCCGGAGTATTCCCCGGAATGTGGGGAATAGGAGTGTATTCCAAGTTTACTTCTCTGTTAAAATTACGGGATTTCAGAATTTTGTACGTTACCCATATTGAAAAGTGGGACTGATACCTTGGTGGAATTTCCTTTGCAAGGTTGGTAGTGGTAGTTGCTGTCGGTGAGTCGACGACGGCAACGGATTGAAGAACACTGAGCACGCTCTAGCGGCAAATCGCGGAACCTTCCTTTTACAGTCTATATCCATCATATTTGTCTATGGTGTTAGCAAGTACTTTTATGAAACAACAAAGGTTGCATTTTGTTTTGTTTAGTAAAATGTCACCACCAGGAACACAGTTTTTTCTGCTTATCTACGCCATTGGATTTGTTCACATTTTCTGTAATGGACCAAGCCAAACCCTAGTCTTGCTACTATATAACATCAACCTTTTGTTATATAGCATCATTAATTGATAGCCCAATGAATGAATGAATGGAATGGAATGAATGAATGAATGAATGAATGGAATAACTAATTGCATCTTGGTCCAAAATCAATCTCACTTAGAATCAAATCAGCAATATTCATATTTGTGATCTTTTGGCTACCCAGAAAATTATTTAACAATCTTTGTGGTATGTCTGTTCTTTTGTTATAATAAAACAGTTCAATGTAAGATGAGCTGTTAATTCTATTTTACTGTGTTCTGTAGGTCAACAAAGAGTAATTTGAGGGAAGCTCAGACTCGTATACAAGACTTGGAAGCTACTCTGGAAGAGAAGAAGGCTCTGGTACACGGATATGAGAAACAAGTAAATATCCAACCTTCTATTATAAGATGAGTTCAAAATGCTTTGAATCATACAATATTTTTTGCAACTGACATAACTGCGAGATAATAGGTTTGACAGTACAGCTGTCAAAGTAATAATTTGTTTAGTACCACGTGTGCAATACTTGTAGCATGAGAACTTTTAGCTGCGAACAGCAACCAAAAGGCCTCCAACAAATGTCCCACAAATTGTTGGAAGCCAACTATTCTTCCCAGGGATGGTTGTATTTCATCATGGGATTGTTTTCAGAGTGTGGATACTCTATTAATGTCCACTGCATTGGCATATTGAACCAATCTTCCTTGGTAGCAATGGACTCAATTGTTTTCAGACTGAGGTATGACGGTGTGGTTAATAGAGATTTTTATGAGGATGGACGATCAGTCTCATCTGGGTGTTAAGAAGAGTCTCAACTTATGTAATAAAAATATTATCACCCTCTGTAACCATATGATATGATGTGTTGTTTCACACAGATAAGAGAGCTGACCCAGCAAGTGGCCAAGCTGGAGAGGAAGCTAGACTCTCAGTCGAGAGCTGGAAGTGCGACGAGAGACTTGTCACGAGAACTGGAGACTCAGAAACATTGTCTTGCACAGCAAGTTGACCAACTGACATGTGTGAACAAACGAGTAAGTAGCAGTAGACCTGCATAATGTTCAGAAACAACAGAAATGCATACGACAACTTATAAACTAAGATTTAAGGGTGTCTACCAATCACTGATTTTGATAAGAAGGTTGTCAGTTTGATCAGAGAAGTCGGTGGCTTTTTTAATATTCTTAGTTGGACTATTCTGCCCTTTTTAGTTTAGGCATTCATTATCTCAGCTAAAGAACCAACTGATTTTAGTAATTGGAAAAACTATCATCACAGTCGTAATACCCATTCCTAACCGTATCTTTGCCTTTAACTGCATACTCTAGTGTGTCGGCTTAATGGTAGCCTAAATCTATTTCAATCTAACGTTAGCAAATATTTGATTTGTCGTAGATGAACTTTTTATTTATCAAAAGTTATTACTAACAATATCTCGAAAGAAATCTTAACTCATGAGTGCTTTTACTATTATTTGGCTGAAATCCATAATTTTCTGTACACAAGTAAAATTTTTAACGAATGTCTTTTTAAGTTGGAGGAGGAAGTCTGTGGGCTGCGGGAGGAGCTGTCTCACCTTCAGGAACAACTGGGGAAAGAGCGTAAAAACTCTGCTACACTAGAGAAGGTGTTGGCTAGCAGCAGACAAGAAACTCTGCAGCGGACCAGAGACAACGGTGAGCTGCAGACACAAGTGCAGTGTTTGCAGGACAGACTGCGGGATCTGCAGGATAAACTGTGAGTCATCAACATGTTCAGGCTGTACCTGACAGTTAAGCTTAGAACTTCAGTACTTCACTTCAGCATCAGGTTTACCCCTATCATTAGTGTGGTATACTGTCCGGTTTGATTAGGAAGCAGCATTGTGAATCAAAAGTTTGTATGATGCTTTGTGTGCAAATCATTAAAGTTCAACTGTCTATGACAAAGCTTAAAAGGGTTGGTTTTAGGACCTAAATTCACTGTTAGGTGGCTAGGTGGCTTTGGCAAAAGGTGAAGAGATGGATGATTTCTTTGTAAATTGCACCTTGAATCAGGTAGTTTGCTAACTTTTACTCATATTTACTTTGTGCGTGTTCAAGTAAAAGTTGTTGGTTAAGAATATGGAGTTTTGTGTTCATAAAATGAGGGAAAACAGAATGAAAATAGATATCATTAGATAAATGAAGCCCAAAGATTTGAACTTTTAGTCAGCTGAAGAACAGACATGATAGGCTAAACTGCTTTGTCTTAAGGATGAAATGTCACTCATGATATCTGGGGATGGCCTATTTATAGGCCATTATTCTGCCTGTATTTTCTTGGGTTCATCTATTTTGCCCATTGCATACTGAAATAGACATCCCATCTATATTTATTAGCTGTTGCAATTTTTTTATTTAAAAAGAACATAGTTGAAAGGATCTGTCACAGAATGTGATAGTCTCTATAGTTATTTTTTCACCACACTATGATGTTTTTAGCTGTTTTACATACGCTAATTGGTGACTGAAAGTTACCTCTCATGCCAGCTTTCATCGTCATTTGGGGACCGAGCAGGTTTTTACATCCCTAGGGCCGCAAAATCAGCTGCCCGCTTACTTTCTTAAAACATGAATGCTTATTAAATACACAATCATTGCAATAGAATTGTTTAAAATTTTTATTTTTATTGTAGTTGTGTTGACTATCAGTGTGCATTATTATTGTGGTGAATAGTGGTAATATGGTATAGTGAAGAAAAATAGCGTTCGTACCACGGACCGAAATGGTTTTGCAGCTCTCGATCGTTTTAAGTTCTCGACTTCGTCTCGAACTTAAAAAATATCTCGAGCCGGCCAAACCTCATTTTCGGCCCTAGGTACGAAATATACTATTTCACCTTATGTTTTGTTGCCGACATAGTTGATGGGCCATAACAATAATGTCACTATAGCTCACAATAAGTCGTTCCATTAGTTTGACTTGGTTAAAAAGTTTGTGTATTTGACAGAATTAAGTAATTTACATCATCACAATCTGTCGGTGGCTCACATCAACTAGGATGATTGTGATGTAAAAACTTGTCGACAACTTTAGCATGGGAATGGAATGTCTGGTTCTGGTTGTATCAAGAGTCAAAGTTAATACGAGTAGTGTTTTATGAGATGGAACAGTTGTCCTCTACTATAACCTTATACATGATTCTAATGTAAACTGTATAAGTTTTATTTGTTAAGCAGTCTAGTCTAAGTAACTTATTGTACCACAGATGCACTACATATTTAGTACTGGTTACAACGGTTCCAAACTGTTCTAGTGAGCATGGGTCTGATGCCTTACGTCGCTGCCAGACTGAATGTGCTGACTATCAAGCCCAAGTCACTCAGCTGAAGAGGGATGTAACCAATGAGCGATTCCAGCGAGCCAGGATTGACGAGAGTAGAAAGTAAGTGTGCCCAGACCCATGAGTAAAATTACTTATCTATGTAAAAGATCTTACAGTAACTTTTATAGATGGACTAGATTTTACCCCACAGTTTCGCTAGCATACATTTCTTGCTATATTTGAACAAAGATTCTTATCAATAAAAAAATTAAGATAAAAGTTTAACTAAAAAAAAAACAGTAGTAAAATGGCATATCCACTGTAACATAGTTCCACCAACCCCATTAAATCCTTGAGCCTCAATTTTCACACCTACCTACCAAAATATGCTTAAGCAAGTGCCAGGGGTCATAATGGTTTGGCACAAAATCAAAAACAGTCAGTAACTTCAATGTAATTAAACATGCCTCTATAAATTTAGAAAAAAACTACTAAATACCGTATACTGTTTTAGAACGCTTAAACAGAACCCTTAGAAGTTTAACACCTACAGAACCTTAGTTGTTCTGGAAAGGATTTAGGGGCGGTTCACGAGCTCGGGACTATCGTAGTCCGAGCCCAGAATCCGGAAATAACCGGTATTTGGGCCGCGACTTTAAAAATCGGGTTCACGAGCTCGAGACTATATAAGCCGCGGACCAAACTGATAGGCGGCACACAATTAGTGCAGGGATAAAACCCGGTTTTAAAAGTTGGGTTCACGAGTCCAATTACAGATAGTCCCGGCTTCTGATCATTAGTCCCGGTGGGTTCACGAGTCAAGTCCGAGCCCAAATGAGATGGTTCGGGCCCAAAAGAACAATGGTGTTTGGTCTCCAACTCAGACCTGGTAGGAGGCAGGTTTAAGGTGACATGATGTCGGTTTTATCTAATTAGCTCCTTTATTTTTATTATTCGTTAAAAACTAATATTTAAATATGGTTCCTCATTAAATTCCGAACAATTTCATTACCCACAACACCATATTTAAAAAATATGTAAAAATGGTAAAAAGGCTCATAAAACATGAAAAAAAATCATCAAACAACTTAAAACTACGGATAAATTATGCACGCAACAAAGTAGTATCATAACAAAGATATTTTACTAATAAACCCCATGTTATTACAATTTTAACAATTATGCGTAGAATATAAATATAACTAATCAGCCACAGTTAAACCATCGTTATCTAACATTATTATCAGAAATAGTTTTTTGCCGTGGGAAACATCAAGCAAACTATCGACCACTTTTGAAATAGGCGACATACGTAATTTTGATCACCACAGTCCATATTACAATAATCAGCAATAACATTGCGTACTACTTTCATGCATGCTCAAACCCCCTCAGCTCCTGGACTAAACCGTCAGTCGTTGAGTACGATTCGCGGTGATATCACCGTCTTGTTTTGTACTCACTGGTCACCGTGTGTATTGAATATGACCATGAAATATCTATACTGTATTATGTTAACAATTATGTACCATCACTCCACTACCTCTCATTGGACCAGCTCGTTATCATGACTAAAACCCTTTTATGACTTGATGAATTTAAAGATAGATTAAAATGTTCCAAAGATGCCGTCAATGAGTCATTTGAGGCGTTAACTCCAAGGCATGGATTTCCCGACAACAAAATCCATTACAGTATTCTAAATTGAAAAAAATGTTAGTTCCACTAATATTTTTGGCTGATGGCACTTTTCATCGAGAAACTGGTGATTTATTGGATGTTAGCTTGGATGGTAGCTATTTGTTTGGTAATGAAAGCAGAACTAATCAAATATTCAGTTCAAAACTATGCCCAAAGAAAAAAAAAACACAATGTTTTCCTAAATATAAACGCATTGTAATGAAACTGATTTTAAAAACCGCAACAACACAAAATGTAAATTAAAACCCATAGCTGTTAACATAAATAATATTACGAGCTAACTGCAGAATATAATTTTCCACATTTTACAGTTAGATTATTAAAGAGTGTAAGAATAACGGAAAGAATATTCTTATTTTACAGCCATGATTAAATCCAGCACACACATTCGATTTTTATATCTAATAATCAGTATCTCTAAATACATTTTAGTTTCAATAATTGTACCATTTAGATAAGTTTAGTTAAAATTGTCCTATCCAAAAATCACCATCCTAAATTATCGGGCATTTATGCAAAATAGGCATTCTTCCGGTTATAAATACCCGGTTATTTTATGTCATGCATCTTAATTGAATTATAATAATGCACACAGAAAAATATATTTCACTAAATACTTTCATTATCTGATTTCATACAAACGTGGATTGTTGTGTTTATAAATCAATAAACTTAGATGGATTATCATAGGCGAGCATTGGGACAATGATATACGAAAAAAATAATCGTTTTGGAAGTTTTGGTTCAGCCTCTTTTCACGATCATCCTATTGTATTGAAGTGCGTATGTCAGCAGCAGTGGCTTCACATGTGTTTACAGACTGTTGATACTGGTTGTTACCAACGTCTCAACAGAAATTCCCTGCGAATCCCTGTCATTAGGCTCCGCTACGAATTTGGTCTCGACCTACACTGGGCCCGGCTTTCACATCATTAGGCTCTGACTCGTGAACCCATTTTTGGTCATCGCTTATATAGTCCGGGACCAACGTCTGGTCGCGGACTATGAAGTCCCGAGCTCGTGAACCGCCCCTTAGTATCATATCTGGACATAGGGACAACCCATAAATCGGTATTTAATATTTATTGTAGAAATATTCTTGATGGTTAGATTCCACTGTTTAAATTAAGAGACGATCGCGTTGTGAATTGTGCGAAGGTAGAGGCTGACATTTTAGATTGATTTTAGATCCGTTGTAACAATCGATTTTGTCCATTTTCGGGGATTCTTCAATTAAACAGCAGCAACTTATCTATAACATTGACAACTTTCTTTGCTAATTCAACTGACCATTTAACAAAGGCCAAGATTCTATATCAATAAAATTTTCTTTAATTGGTCCAATAACAATAAAAATACTCTCAGAACCCATCACCTAGCGGTGTCGTTACTTTAGATGTTATAACTTTTGCATCGTAATTTACTACTATAGTACTCCCACAGAAGCATTGTTTTCAGTCAACGAATGACTAACTCAATGAGTAACTCACGGATACCGAGGGTGTCTGTCCTAATTCACTTAAATATATCCAAAGTCCACTTTTAGTGTAGTTAGATAGTCTATTGTTTACATAGAAGCAGGCTACATCTTCTTAGGCTGTCATTAGGGTTGAGCTTCCATTTCTCAAAGCAAGTCTTAAGAATGAGATATTGTGGCTGTCCTGACAAAGTCTATTTTTTTTAGCGGATTGAGCTGACTAAGCTTCGTAATGAACTTTCTAGACTGTGACCGAAAGATCAGCTATGTAAATATTAAATAACAGGGGTCAAGTACTGTTATTTGAGCACCTAGTCCTAGAAAGATGTTTCCTTGCGGTATGAGCGAATTGTGAACTCTGCCACTTAAGCTTTTGGTATTTTTGTGCCGAACTCACCCTCCTTGAAACATTTTAAAGATGTTCAGCCTGAATGAAAGTATTAAGGGTAAAGGACAGTCTTGGGTTTAACATTTCTTCAGTCGTTTAGAGCACACACATGAAATTCTATTGGGTACCTTTGTGCTGTTTTTTCAGAATGATACCTGTATTTCGACTGTTTTTCGTACTGGTAGAACCTTAATCACTATTTCTAGCTCATCCATGCTGAATCGTTTGTAAACTTGAATTTCCTCAGAAGATACCAAACTTTGAAACCTATTTCTCTTCTTTGCTCATCAAGGTTTGAATTAACCCCTCTTTAAAGTCAATATAATCCGTGACACTGAAATATCTACAAAATTTAAAGAGAGTTTTGACTCCAACATGGATTATATTCTTTTTTAAACCTCTTGGGAGTGACTATCTTTGCTCTTGACAGTATTTGAAAATCGACCACAAATCCTTGCCGAAGGGAGGAATAAATCTAATGTTATTTTCTAGTTTTAATGTAAAGTCAATTCTCTCCAATTTAAATTCTCAAAACTCCATCATGGACATGATAAATCCCAACAGAATTTTTATCCCATCAACAATATAACTGACCTGTGCTGGGAGGGTGGAAAAGGATGGAATTCGATAGGTATTTTGAATATGTATCTCTTATAGCTTTTTCTATATGTATGAATCCTAAAAACTTGATTTTAATTTAAAATTAAATTTTATCTTTAACAAATCCAATCAAACCAAACTGTCCAATCAATCGAGGTGTCATAAATTTCAATAAATATAAACAAAAATGAAACTGTTGCTAAAACTGTGTAAAAAAGTAAGTAAATGGATTATGCTATTATTAAATTTAAAACTAATAATTTGTAAAAGATGTATATTTTTATAATGTTTTAGAATATGTTCAGAAACCATTATAAGGTCCCCAACCATCAAAGTTAAAATTTGTATTTTGGTTTTAGTTTTTTGTCAGTAGTTTATATGTTTGAACCAAGAAAAAAGTTCTAAATTTTACTTTTTGTTCTTTGTAATTTCATTCCCTCCTTTCTGTGACTAAGTAAAAGAAATTATTAACAGCTGATGATGAAATAAAATTTAGTAAACAAATAACAAACCCATTGAAAAATAATTAGTGACATGTTGTTCAAAATTTTTAGTACATAGTTCAATTTTTTTCAAAAGTGTGACAACAAAAAAACTATCACCACTAGAAACACATCACATATCTCGCTGACCTCAACAGGTAAAATATTTTAATATGATAATTGTCTAATGTACAGCTCTTGAAGAGCTAATAATTTGAACATCATGTTTGTGAGTGGTTCAATTCATCCAAATTATGTCCGGATATTGCGGCAAATGGCAACCAGGAGTTTTTAATATAAGTAGTAAAAACTCTCCATCTATGAAAGCAATCCTTTAGTTCTTTTAAATGTGGACAACTGTTTCTCCATCACACATGCTGACAATTTATCAGGAACCCCACGTCCCTATCTCAACTAATTCAGGATATGAGTGAAGGATGAATGTGGAATGTTGTGAGATGATATGTGTAGCTTTGTTAGGCTACTAACTTCCCTGGAACATAGGGAAAAAAGACAAAACAATTGTTTTAGTCTAAGTGAACCAATGGACTGCTTTTGCAGATGGTGAGTTTATACTATACGTCCGTCAGAAAAGGAAAGAAACTTAAAATATTTAAAGACTTTTCATATACATTCCAATGTAATGCTTGGCAGCTGGTTTGTTTTACTCAACCAAGCAAATTCAATGAAGTCTGCTTAATAAGACTGCAGACTTCTTCCTTGTTCCTTGTTCCTTTCAAACTGTCGCTGGATAAAAATGTATAATCTACGTCTTTCACACCGATAATCCTTCACTTTAAAAAATGCAAACCACTAGTATGACAAGCTAGGTTGTTTGTCCATATCACATGTTCTGTGGCGTAGCAGTTTGCAGTGTTGTGCAGGGTAGGTTGTACTTGTCCACTGAAGGGCCGATGTTCGTGCTGTCTCCTCGTGTGTGGCTCCGTCACCTCTCTCCCCCTCCACTCTCCCCTCTCATCCTCCTCGACACCTTCTACCCCCACCTCCTCCAAGGTACGTACTGCTCTGCTGAGGATTATTAGTCATAATTAAAGTAACAAAATTAAAGTTTTGTTAGTACATTTTAGTTTTTTTTTTTTACTATGTAGTTTCCCATACAGAAACAATTGAGCGGTACCGTAATGTGCTAAATAAACCTTTATAAACTGTATTATCTTTGCCATAGATACTCATTTAATTGCATTGGTTTCATCTACTTTATGATTAACTTGACAATAAGGGGCCTTGAAAATAAACCGCCTATATATATTTTCTTTACATTCTTACATTAGCACAATTATTGTAAATCAATTCTAAATTTACAAGTACGCTATTGACCACCAGTCTGATAGCCTATATTAATCTAATTAGTTGACTACAATTTCTAGAGGTATTGCTGATAAAAGTTTCATAAGTTTAAAAACAAAATACCTAGCCTATCTTGACTGTTTTATTCAGAATTTTTGACAATGATTTTTTTCTAGGAAATTGAATCTATGCAATCAGGACAGGTGATCTATTTGATCAAATTATCTCAATATTAGTATTACTGAACTTTGATGACTTGTGAGTGTGGGCACCAATGTCTTGTATCTTATTGATTACAATTTAAAAAAACAAAAATGTGTTAACCAAAGATTTAGTGTTTTTGGTCCGTTTGGTCGTATAGTCCACACAGTCGCTTTAGTTGATTTATTATTCACGTCTACATACATGGATTAGAAAAAATTTAAAAATTGATTATCATGCAGTGTCGAATTAGTAGTCTATTTACTACATTTTCATTCCCAAATAAAGTTAACAAACCACAAATTTTAAACTGTCCTTAGCTAAACAGTCAGTTAACATGTGTTCCTCACAGGGCAGTGCGAGGAGAGTGGTGACTTGTACCTGTATCCATCTACCCCTTCCCTCCATTCCTTCCACCACCAAGTTTCCCCCCTGTTCCCGGGTCCGGAGACGTCTCAGACCCCCGGGTTGTGATTCCGGGTCTGATTCCGGACCTATCTCATCACCTGGACTCTCTGTCACATCGAGACTGAGTAGAGATTACGAAAGTAGCTGAACAGTGTAGACACCGTGCTCAAAGATGTTGTTTGTTTATTAATACACCATATACTTGTTTATTTTGTGTAATTCTATAAATAAAAGTGTAGCGAATGTAATAATTTTTTATTCCCTCTTTTCCATAAATATTAACAGTTTTGTGTAGTTGAATTCACCCCTTTTTTATTCCATAAGATATTTTAATTTAGAAACATTGACATACTTCTGGATATCATTTTATATTAATAGAAAGTTTATACTATAAGTTAAGAAAATACTTCCTATTAATTTAATTTATTTAAGCCTAATTGAGTGGCAGATACGTTAGAGATAATAGCCTAAGCAAAGTTTATTTATAAGATACAATTACAATTGTTTTGTGTTTGTGAAATTTTTTAATTACCAAAGACTCCCATATACCTAAGAACAGAGTCGTAGAGAACACAAAAACACAAAAATTACAGTATGATAATTATTAATTAGTGAAGCAAAGCTAAACACACAGATCCTGATAGAATAATACCATCTGATATAATAAAGTTCAGTTGTCTCCAGTCAATGTTAGTAAGGTTATATTTCCTCAAAACAAAATGATTTATTGTTTAAATCTTAATTTCTTTTCCATAAAATGTAATTAAAAACATATGGCTCCAATCCAATATTCTTGTCAAGTACCAATTATGATACAGTTTAGTAACCAACATACTTCTGTTATGTGAAGTTTAATCGTCTGAAGAGAAATTGTTGATTGAAATATGTTTCATTTTGATAATCGAATTGTCATGGCTTGATATAACTAATGTTAATGTTAATGGAGCCGTAGATATTCAACAAAACCATTCGATAATTACTGGATTTTTATAAACTATTAATCATATCTTATCTTTCAAGTTTTTCCAACTCATTCTCCTCCTATTTGTCGTTCATTTTCCTCCTTGTGTCAAAACCTACGTATCCTCTGTCCTGGGAATACATTTCCTTTTTCCTCACCCATCATTGATAATGTTTGACGATTATTGGTTTTTCTTCAGCTACAACTCGACCCTTTGACAGGCAGAGCAAAGTTCAACAGATTTGACTCCAAGAAACATTCCTTCTGCTGTGATTGACTCATTGAATCATCGTCACTGTCATCATTCCTCACCATAAAGTGTTCTTTCAATATTAGGCCTAGTAATATTAATTTATTTATGTATTTAGCTCCCGAAAACTTAGCCACTCATTCTGGAATCAACATTTAGGCTATTAAAGCTAGCACCATTTGTATGGATATGTTTAGTTAGTTCAAAGGTCGTGTTACATCTTACAATTAAATATTGGAATACCGTATCTTGTTATGTAAAAAATATGGCCTTTATTATGAATGCCAAAAACATAGTTTAAAGTGATCTTAGATTGTCAATTAATTATTAAAGTGTAGAACAATTTAGTTGTAAGACATTTTTGTAGCTCACTTAGCTATGTGTTAATATCACTGTGTTCGTTAGAGCAATTAAATGATTTATAGTGCCTTAGTTATTATAAATATTGACCTATATTAGGTGTTCAAAGAACATAGGATACCAGCACAACAATTAAAAGAATCATTGGTGTTAAGTGTTCTAAAATATTGTTGTAATGTATGAAGATAATTAGACACAGCTTGTCAGAAAAATATCTTGTTTGCTTCGTTCAATATAATTATTAACATTTAATAGTAAAATTAAGTTGTTGGTGTTTTCTAATTTAATTGAAATCTTATCAATTTTCTTTTAAATCTAACTAGGTAATTGAACCCCACCTCAATGTTCTCAATTTATTTTTTAAAGAAATTAAAATTGTTTCTGTAAAGCTAGTTTTCAAATTCAAATATTTTCCATTGTAGAAAGCTTAATCTTACTGTTCCATGTGTATAACACAAATTTAGTCTTAGTCAATTATAATGTGTTCAAGCAAGTAGAAAATTGTTATAATGTATTATGCATGATTACAAAGTTATTGGAATTAAAAATATATGAAGTTATGACGTCTAAAAACTAAGATGATTTGGTCTTGATTGACTTTCCCTCCTCACCTTATTGTTATTTCTATTATTAGTGTGTTTAAATTATATATAATATCACATCATGGTTCAAGAAAGTTTAAAGTAATCAAATTTAAATTTGGAATACCTCTTCTTTGCTTCAATTGAATTAATGGTGATGAATCTTTTAAAAGTAGTCAGATATTTTTATCACACTTAAAATATCATGAACAGCCTTGCCTTCAAACTCATAGAGACTATTATATCCATCCAAAGATTGGCTTTTGTACCCATCTCATAACTTAAAAAAGTATGTTACATCTGCAAATATTTTGGCTTAAAGAAAGCTGTAATTTGTATTATAATCACGTGCTCTATTGTTATTTTTTAGCAAACATCGTTGTATGGAAAGGTGGATTATTGGTAATGCCTTTGGTACAGTATTTGAGTGCTTAGAAATTGGTTAACTAAAAGTTGGTTCGATCTGAAAAAGTTGAATTGATGATATGTTGGATGATCATATATTTGGTTTTAGTTTACCATTTTATTTATCTCTGCACTCGGTTATCTACCAAAGTACTTACTCACTTGTCTTAACAAGTGTCTTGTTGATTCATTAAATTCAAACTCAATACATTTCTTGGTTTACTTTAGTAACAAATATGATGATACGCTTAACATGGATTGACAACACCTTAACGGCGCCAATGATTTAATACAATCCTGTCTACACTTAATGTTTAAAATGTAATTCAATACAGTGTTGAATTGGATTGATAAAAGTTATACATCAAATGTATCCCTTAGTATTCAGCTTGATTTTTTAATCAATTAACCCTAATAATAGGCACTTCTTCTCTACTTATAGTAGGTAATGATGTTATAAAACATTTGTATAATTTTTTTTAAATAAAATTTCATACATATGAAATGTTTGTGTTTGACCAGATCTCGTTCAATTCTACGAAGTAAGAAACGTTTGACAAGTCAACGCTCCCAATCACTGATCTGTCAGAGAACAAGAATGATGAGTCCTAACTATGTTTGTCCTTGTTGCTTCCTCAACCGAATATCCATCCTGCGTGAATCCAGGGGTTCTAGTGAGGTTCAGTTCCAGTTTAAGCCCAGAGTAAGTTCAGAAACAGTAACTTTCGAGGCAGTGGAAACTGAGAGCAAAACTTCTATGTCCACACAACAGACATTTAGTGATACTTCTGGGTTTAACAATCTAAGTCAGTTAGGGGAAGTTATGGACAAGTCTGTGGCCCATATGTCTAACTATTCCAACTGTTCAAACACAAACTATGTGTCAGGGAGTTCAATGGATTGTAATAAAAAATCTGTACTTCTGGCTGAGCAGATAGACTGTGTTTTGAAGGAGCAAAAGAAATTCTTGAGAGAGCTAAATTTAGATATTCCTGTCAATGAAGAAGAATGGTCAATGCTGATAGGAGAACAAAGTGTGCAAGCAAAGTGTGGGGATTACGACAAAAATACAAAGACAAATCAAAAGAAGAGCAAACGCAGCAAACAAGATTTTGTCAAACAGTTTAGAACAGACCAAGTGATTGATTCTTACTTTGCTGGAGGAGACAAATTGTGTCCAACATCTATAAATATGTTTGGTGAAAATTGGAAAGAAGACGACCTTGTTGAGGATAGTAATTTTTCTAAGATAAATAAGCCAACGATATATTTTAACGAAGAACCAGTTAAGTTACCTAAACCCTTTCAATGCACTCTTACTACAACTGAGTCAGATATCAATAGAGATTATACAACGGATAAAAACGTAAGTGTAAAATTACTGTTTTTCCCAGAAGTTCCATTGAAAGGTAGTTCAACTTCTATGCTCTCTGATGGTGGAATGTCGTCAGCTTCAGTTTATGTGACGGCTACAAACAGTGCCTCTGAACAAGTTCCTATGATTTACAACACAGCTGATTCTAGTTCAAACTTCCAACTGAATGCAACTCAATCCTCCGCAACAATGAGTTAGACTCAAGTGTTTGTTCCAACTGGTGGTGATGAATGTAAAATATACAGGTATTTATTGATGAAACTCACTTTGTAATTTGAAATATAATATTCAAACATTGAGGAAACTGGAAACGTGTCTTATTTTATTCAGTGGTAGTTTTAATTGGTATCAAGTACGTTACCTAAGATTAGACAAAACTCAAATCAGCACAGATTGATCCTTATGCATATAGATCATATTTGGCCTTGCGCCTCTAGCACAAAATTATAACAACTTGTTCTAAAGGTTTTTTTTATGAATGAAAAACCTATTGCTTGAAATCAACATAACCCTGCTTCAAACAATATGAAAACTATAAAAGCTAACTAGTGAACCAGAAAGGTCCTCACCATTTTGTTTTAACTGAGAAAAGACTCATCTTGGGAGTAAAGCTTATGTTCACTGTAGTAAAAAATTGATTGCTTTGAATGTCAACCTACAACATGACATGAGTCCATCTGAGCCTAGAGTAGAGACTTTTAGTTGTGTCAGCTGGTAAGAAATTGCCAACATCCGTTGTTTTGTTCTTTTTTCATCTTAGTTGACATGTTTATTCATGATGTTAGCTTGACACAAGATACAAGCACTGACTTTGAACACTCTAGTAGACTTCTCTTCTGCCAAACAATCAGAAGCCTATTTTGATGCGGTTTATGTTTGGTTGGGTTACTTTTAGTTTAACCCTTAACAAGTTTTTATCCTATTATGATAACCGTTAAATATACGTCTCATTTATATTTATAGTAAAAGATTCAAGGGTTCTCTAGATATCTTAGTTTGATCTGTTTGAAAAACATATTTTATCTTTGTAATCCTTCCCAACTCTTCTGTTGTAACTTGAGGCTCTATACGACTGAAAATGCTCCCCATGCATTCAAAATGTTTTACAGATATATAACTGATGCAACACTTTCAAGGATTATTACCAAAGAAAGGTAATAATCCATCATTCTTCATTATTTTTTCTAAACAATTAACTGTACAGTAACTCATACATTTGGTATTAAATGTAAATATTGAAATATTGTATCCACTTAATAAGTGGTGTAAAATTGGAAATCTTGTCGCCATTTAAAAATCAAAATCCTAGGAGTTGATGTGAGCCACTGACAGATTGTTGATGTAAATTATTAATTTCTGTCGAGTACACATTCTTGTTTACTAAGTCAAACTGATGGACCAACTTATGAACAAGCTATAGCAACTCATAAACTGTGTCAGCAACAAAATATGAGGTATAAAATACAATTTTGGACACTACAGTAGCACATTCTGTGACTGGCTCGTACAACAATGTTCTTTTTTAATAAAGAAAGAGGCAATAGCTGGTTTATATAGATGGAATGTCTAGTTCAGTATCCAATAGTCAATGATACAGTATTTTATACACTAGACTACCATCATTATACAATTAATCAATCTTTACTTGTCGTAAGGATACATAGCATGTCATTGACAAAGTTAGTATTTACAGTTTTCAAATGAACACTTAATATAGCAAAATATTTGTATAGGCTTAATATTTACAACACATATACTATTCACATTTACTGTACCGAAATAAAAACAAAACTAAAAGAATATTTATCCCAATTTACAATGTTCATCTAGACTATAAAAAGGATTTTTAAGCAGAGAATTTTACAACAAAGCCCTAAAATTGTGACCATTATTTATAAAAATAATATCTGTTTACTATTGTGTATTTTTCTAACAACTCTGTTACGAATAACATCTTTATTCTTTGCTTAAATCACTAACAAGTTTTTAATCTACTAACAGTTCTACAATCCCCTATAATTGCCACAAGGAGAAGGAACATTGAGCAATAATTTGACTTTATGTTAAGAATTCCTTACCTAAGGAAATCGTAAAAACAGTTTTTACTTTGCTAATTTAACTTGGAATTAAAATACTGTTTGCCAACACATAAAAAACCTGCTTGTCACCTATTATAATTTATAACAGTTTTTCATTCTTTGTCATTCTTTTGTTTTGTCATTCTTTGTAAAAGGTGGAGTTTACAAAAACAGACCAGTCTACCTTGTCTGCTGATGAAGTTAGATTTGAGTTTTGGCAACAGTGAGGAACTTTTTGTATCTCTAGAGTTTGTTCCGTTATGTGTACAGTTGAGATACCACCTCTGTAAACAAACAAGTATTGTACTCTGCTTGCATATCGTCAGTAAATGAGGCATGCTAGATGTTATAATCATAGTGGTAAGACAATCTTCCCAGGCTTTCGCGTCTGGTGTCATTGAAATCCATGGTGATGGTTTTTGGCGACTGGCAGTGAAATACAACTGACGGCGGTTGACGCTGAAAACCATCACCATGGATTTCAGTGGTATTACAAATTTCAGGCTCCTTAGCAAAGTTTTGCCTCCTTTCTAGGCTTAGTCAGAAAAAGGGATTGAACGAGAAAATCATGGAATCAGTTCTAAAGAAAGGGAAAAAGTTGGTTTAGTAGGCCTAGTTAAGCACGGGACTTCTTTACAGAAGGTCTACATTCAAATCCTACAGATCACCAACTGGGGTTTAGCTATGTAAACATCTTGGGACCTTAGAGACCACCTTGGGCTAGGTGGTTAACAATTTACACAATATTTTACATTACTTTTACATAACATAATTACACTGTTTTTTGGTTTTTTTAGTAAAAAGTAGGCATCTTAAACAGAAGAACTCTCTGTATGTTGGAGATCTCCCTCCATAAATCTGTAAGATAATCCGTTCACAGTCCATATAGGTGGAGCAATTGTGTTTGGAAAATAATTAGATCGAACTTAGGCCTAAACAATTAACCCCCCTCTTAAACCGAAGTAAAAAACTGTATGAACAAAATCCAAAAGGGTCCAAAAAGTTATGTAGAACAACAGGCAGCTGTAGTGCTAAATTTTACAAAAATCCCCTCCATATCTTGAACACTAAACTTTATACCTGGAAAGATACAAGTGGAATCATTTTGCTCGTTGATTTTGAAGGCATTGCTCTATGTACCTACCGTACGAAACGGAACCCCGCAAGATGCGGACTTCCCACTCAAGGCTGGGCCAGTTTTTCATTTCGTCTCCGCTCCACGCAGCCCAACTCCCGAACTTGGCCTTCTAGCTCGTTGTTTCGGCGTCGGCTCAAATAAACAAAAGCACTTCCTAAAACCCAATACTTCAACTGATGTTCGTACAAACTAGCGGAACAAACAAACAAAAAGTCATTTAAATGTTTTCCACCCTCCTTTTGTAGGCTTATAGGTATCTCAACAGATGAGGCAATGTTTCCAGGACGACATTGTAGCTTTGCAATCGTCTGTTTAAGTTAAAATGATAAATAAATTCCTTTAATACAAACTTTGAATCTATAATGTTTTTAAATCTCTATTTTGAACCCAACATGTTTTTCTGAGTAAAAACCCGCCAAAAAAATAATGTGTCTATAGGTATTTGCGGCGTCAATTTCAACCAGTTTCGTTAAATTAATATATTTTTAAATCATGACGTTGTAATGTTTTCAATAAGCAATTTATTCAACGAGCATAATATTATAGGTTATGAGTTTCATCCCTATCAAACACTGTGGCCAACATTACAATTAATTTGCCAATCTAATTATCTACATCTAAATTGTTAATAAAGGATACACAAAAAAGCGTTTCTAAACGATAATTTTTTTCAACACATTATGAAGCTTAGTGAAAAAACACCCATAACCAACACTACCGACAGTTTAATAGTAGCACAACCGGTTTTGTACAAATTACTACTCGTGCCGCTACCTAAACCAACAAATTGTCCTATTAACTGGGAGTTTTTACTCGCTTTAACTAGTAGTTTCAAGTTTAATTACAGTGTATTTATTTGATGTATAACACTCTAAAGATTAACATTACTGTCTCAATTAGGTAGATTCAAGACTTTTACGACCGTATTGTCTATGGTTTTACCTTTGACTATTGATATAACCATTGTATATAAAATTCAATGGCTGAAATAGAGTATTTGCATAAATCGGTTGTCTTTAGATGTTTGTTTTTAACGGAACCATTATGTTTGTAACCATTAAACCGAGATAACGACGATTTTCTCTCCGTTATCTGACCATAACGGAACTATTTAGCTTATCATTAACTTATAATGCTTTGGAAGAGTTAGAAGATTCAGTTTTTAACTATCAAAAACGTTAAAGACTTTATTTATCATTCTATTAACTTTAATGCCCTTGAAAATCTAAACGTTTTTTTGGTAGGAAAGCAACAGTAGAAGGATTACAGGCGTGTCCGTGTAGTAATGAGACGGTTTTTGATTCGATACCACAACCATACATTTGAAAATAGGTACAGTACGAACAAATAATAATTTAATTCCTACTCAGGTCGAATGTTAAAATACGAGTTTTATTACAATTAGTTATTTGAACATAAATAAAAGTATGAATAATGATAGCGACATATTTTTGACAGATTCGCAATGTGAAGTAAAAATTACAGACATGTTGGTTATTTTTCTTTTTAGTGTATAGTTAAAGCAAATTAATTAATGCATTGATGATTGAAAATAATTGCATTATCATCAAGTGTCAGCCACAACAAGTTAAAATACCCCCGCCGCAGCAAACCTGCAGACTAAGCGAATTTCCATTTGACTGATAGGATTTACACTAAAATGTCTCCTTAAAAATATCACATTTATTTCCTATTTGAATAGAATTGGTTTAACGAGTAATTAGGTTAAATTTGCTGCAACAGGGAGGGTAAAAGTTTTTTTTATGTTAATAGTTTAGTGAGAAATAAATGCATTTTCCAAATTTGATCAAAATATGTCCATAAACAAGCAAACTACAACAGTTTACTTATTCTACATAAGAATAACATGGAAATTTTAAATTTTTTTATTTTGGTGCATAATAGCGTTTCAATATACTAAATTAATTGTTTTTTAAGCTCTACAAAATGGTTTGGAAAGAAACTTTATGTTTTTTTTTTTTTGTCAAAAATGGGAAAACCAATTTTTACACATAAAACTCCCAATAAATCCCATTTCCCATAGTCCGATCACGCTTGTTCGTGAACTCGTTAGAATAAATGTAGGTTTACACGC